AGCCTGCGTTCAGTTTATAGTCGGAGTGCAGTTGGTCCATGTTAGTGTCAAAATCGATCATAGACTGAGAGTAGGAACGGCCCATGTTAGTGAGGGTCCAGAAATTGCCAAAAAAGGCGCTAATACCGTTTCCCCAGGAAGTCACCGGTTCCAGTGGTCCATGTTAAAGCGCACTTGAAGTTGAGTTACGGTCTATGTTGTTTTCCCCGGAGTAGACGGTTGCAACTTGCGAGTCCCCGGCTCGGCCGTCCTCAAAAACACAACAGAAAAGTTGTCAGCGCTAAACAGAGTTTTGCGAGCATTCAATTCTCAGAGTTGTAGAGCTTTTTGTATTCTCATCGTTCTCAGGCTTTTTGACTTCTTTCAGGATGAGCGCTATGCGTACCTTGGCTGTGTACTGGGTCTTTAATGGCCACGAAACACGAAGAACCGCGTTTCTCCGATTCTGGGCGATCACTTCGTGTTTTTGGTGCGTGGGCAGTTAGGTACTTCATTATGGAGTCTGTCAATGGTGGCACGCTGCGCCAACTCTTGACAACCCTCCACAGTGACAAAGGCGTGATGCACCTGTTTCAGCTTTGCATCTGCAGTCAGGCCACCAAGACCACTAGACTAGAGCTTCAAGACAGGGAAAACTGGAAGCACCCCGCTCAGCCAACATGCCCGTCATTCCATGTATATATGGGTTCAGTCCGTTCAGTGCTCGATCATTGGAATTATGGTCCGTCGGCCAAGACTGCAGGCTCGCGTATCAGTGAAGGATATGTGGCTGAACTGTTGCACCAAGCGCTATACGCACTGAGACATTTGCACTTTGTTTCTTGGCACGCAGAGTTGGCAGGCACACTCATCAAACGGTTGACGCAGGATTGAAGCACACTTTTTGATTCTCACTGTTGGTGTCATGCCTGATGTTTTGATGCAGTTTGGACTGACATGAATTCATCAGTTCCTCTCAGGAATCTCGCATCCACAAAGATGTGAAACTGGAAAACTTGATGCTTTTGGCTCCGAGTGGCCCACCTCACTTGGTCTTGATCGACTTGGGCGTGGCGGAGACCCTCCAGCCTCAGCAAGGCGGGTCCTCCGAGTATGGTGCTCACGTGGAGGCCAACTCAACCCGGGAGACGGAATCAATCAATGACATTATTCTTCTAAAACTCGGCAGTTTTCGAAAGATTAAAAAGTGAATTTCTGTTATGACTGACCAAAAAGCTCTTAGGGGCTCCTGGCATCGCTGCTATGAGCAAGGACGCTACTAGGGGCTCCTGGCCGTACTACTAGGAACAAGAAGCTACAAGGGGCTCCTACTTGAGTTCTGGATGGCTGGACGTTTGGCATTTCATGGAATGCATCAACGCCCGGCGACAGCGACGCTGCACGCCCGACAGCTGCAGAGGTGAAGCGGGCCCAATGCCTGCCGGCACACCTCAGACCATGGCGCCTGAGGTCATCGACTGTATGCTGGGTAAGAGGGCCAGCTGCTTGTCTTAATAGTTGTTCATCCTGAACATTGAGGAGTTTCGTTGTTCCTACCATGAGAAGCGCCGAAGCGCAGTAAAATGAGCATTTGAGGTTTCGACGACAAATGCGACGTGTTCAGTTTGGGCATTGTGGCGCATCAGCTGTTCACAGGGGAAGTGCCATACAAAGTGGCTTACACTGGCGGAAAGTCTTATGGCCCTGTGGACTACGAGAAAACACGCGCCAATATGGAGAGATCTCGGGGCACAGATGTTGCACTGTGCGTGTTTGAGCTCCGCACAGTTAGAGACACCATGCGGAAGCACCGACCGCATGGCCAGTTGTCAGAGAAAGCCTAATGCTAGTTGACCTGACTTTGAAGCTTTCAAGGGTCTGCAACCGCAAGCTTACTTCATGCTATGTAAAGGTACACCATTCCATCATTCGTGCCGACCCCTTCTCGGAATGTGGATTTCGACCCTGCCATCTTGGAGCAGATCCAAGACCATCGATCCGAATGCATGCGCGTGAGGAGGAAGCCGAGCTCACGGGGCAACTGAAGGTCTCTGAAGGCGCTTTGGATTTCATCAAACGGATGTTGCAGCTGGATCCTGAGAAGCGGCCGAGCAGCCTGGACTGCGGGTCATGTTGGAGACATTTCTTCAGGGCACAGGATCCAGGATGCTTTTTATAAAAATAATTGAACAAATGTATTACTTACTTTTAAAATAACTTGGATTTAAGCGGTGAAAGCAGACCGTGAGACGACTCAGTCAGAACAAAGCACCTTGTTGGGGGTTGGAGGTGTCCGAACGTTGAACTCCATGTGCCCGCAGGAGTGTTTAGAGCACCCCTGGTTGGTGAACTGCTGCGAGCGTCGGCGGATCCGCAGACTTCGAGCAGAGGGGCGCACCTCCTTGGGAGGTGCTTCCTTGTAACACGGCTTCTTGAGGGCGAAAGGGGCTAAAATAGGTTGCCCGACTTTATCCTGGGCAATCATTGGCTAAGCCCCTATGAGTGCCAGCAAAGGGTCGAAACAAAGTACTGCGAGCAATTACAGTGTGTAGGTTGGCCTTTCGATGAGCAGGTTGGCAAGGTTGGAAACAAATGGAGCAGAGACGAACAGATACTGTAAATGCTGCAGCACATTTTTTTCAGTCTTTTGCGGCGTCCTCATGGAGTGCAAAGACCACGATAATCGTTGTTTGAAATATAGACTTTTGGTCCCAGGTCGATCGAGGCTGACCAAGCTGCAGGAGAAGAGTTGTTGTGGATGGAGAGGCAAGTTGTTCTAGATGTTGAGCAATGTCCAGCCTTTGAGGGGTAGCAAGATGGGCAGAATGTGAGGAGAGTGGATGAGTCTTCCATGATACTGATGACAGCAATGCAAGCAGGCGGCGAGTTTGTAAAGCACTGGTGCGTTTTGCAAAGCGGACCCCTTTGCAGCGGGCTGTGGCCTACCACCTGGCTGCCTACCTCCCTGTGGGCTGGAACCTCAGACCTGAAGTCTATCACAGATCAATTGCGAGACATAGAGCGCTGGCTGATTTGAAGACCATTGTCGTTCCTTGTGGTCGTTTCAAGTCATTCCGTGCTTCCCTCCCTCTCTCTCTCTCTCTCTTTCTCCAAGATTGTACATTACAGTAGTAGCAGATAATATTCACATATACACAATTGAAGATATTGAACTCTTTGAAGAATCAGTTCAATTTGACCCCTGGCGCTCTGTCAGAGGTGACTTGCGGAGAGCTGCTGACAGCTTCAAGCGAGTGGACCAGGCTAAGAGTGGCTGAAGCCTTAGAATGCGGCTTCGAGCGAGCACTCGTGATTCATAAGCTCCTTCTGTTTCAAGGAGCCATGGCAATCATGTTAGAACTCAGCTTTTGCATGTATGCAGCCAGTTCTCAGTCTAATGAGCATTTTTTGGGTGTGGGTGGGTGGGTCTTGAAGAACGCTTTGTGGCTACTTGGCTTAGCGAGATGCTTGAGAAGGGGTGGGACAGTGATGACATGCCTATTTGAGGCCACATCTCTTATGATGAGATTGCGAAAGCATTAGAGGAGACCAGCACCATGCTTGATTGCTGAAGTGGTCCAGGTGATGTGAGGGTTGTTCTCCGCTTGGTCACCGCTGCAATAGCAGTTGGCAAAAGAGTTGGAGGCAGACCAACCCATTTGTCAGGGCAGACCAATCTGTGTCAGACTCCGCAGGATGTCCTTGGAATTGACCGTGAGAATGGTTTGCTGGTGGCAGCTGCCATGGACACGGATCACACAAGTCGATTAGAGACTTGGTCAAGCAGACAGCCAGAGAGCTAGGCCCGCACAGAGAGAGAGAGAGAGAGAGAGAGCGAGAGAGAGAGAGAGAGAGACAGAGAGAGAGAGAGAGAGAGAGCGAGAGATACAGAGAAAGATAGAGAAAGAAATAGAAAGAAAGAAAGAAAGAAAGAGAGAAAGAGAGAGAGGGAGAGAGGGGTTGGCAGGTCCGCAGCCACAAGGGTGGGAGATGAGAGAGAAGCCAGCCAATACATTTCAAGACTTGAACTGACTGTTCTGCCTGCCTGTCAAGCGCCTGAATATCCGCGAAATTCCGCGAATAATATCGAATAATGCCAATAATTAATAACATGTGCTACGACCGAGGATTTCCAGGAGTTTTCAGCGGCCTTAGCAATGGTCTCCGGCAACCTGGCTGCGCCATAGTGCCACAATGCGACATATCCGGTGTAGGATGGTGTTGCTAGTTCCGGACCGACTAATTGTTCTTTCCATGTTGAGATGAGCAGTCGCGGGGCAATAATGCTCGCAGGCGTTTTGCAAATTAAGATGTACCAAGTGGCTTCACTGCACCTATGTGGTGCAAGTTCGATGGACCTGATTAAAGCAGTCCCTCACGTGAACCCAGACAACGGCAACCTCTCACTGACTCACTTCCCTGGAGCTTCTTGCAATTGTTGAACCATGTGGACCCAAAGCGACACCTGACAATGGCTCGCCGTTGCTAAATCAGGCGACCGAGAGCAGCGCCTCTTTGATAAGTTGCTGCTTGGACAATTCATTTTGGCACACCTCAGCCTCAACGCGTCAACGTTGGTGGGATATGGCCCAAATCCCCACGAGAGGTTCGTTCGAACCGTTCGAACATCACTCTTGAAGAATCAGCGACACAATTTTAACACAACGATTTTTTGAAACAGGTTCTCTTGGAACATCCCACTACTGGACCGCTGCCCGTGGAGACTTCCAGAGGCTGGCGAAGTTGCAGATCTCTCCGGAGCAGGACCTGACGTTTGAGGAGGTCCATGCAGCAGTGGAGCAGGCCATGAAGCAAGAGGCGAAGCAAAGGGGCTGGGGATGGATGGGGACGAAGGGGTGGGTGATGGGTGGTGGCTGATAGATTCTGACCTGACACATGCAGGTCACGAGAGAAGAGCTGGTGCACTGGCTGGGCAAGGTGGCCAAGCGTAGCTTGGCTGTGAATCAGTCATGGACAAAGCTGTTCCAGAAATATGACGACATTTATGATACACCTGGATGCGCCTGTAAGTGTGCCGTCCTGTACTCGATCGACATGTTGAATAGCTGTAGTCGTAGTCCCAGTCGGAGTAGTTCGTGTTGTTGTTGTTGCTGCTGCTGCTGTTGTGGAGGATGTGTGCAAGCTCAGATGCCACTCGTATCCTAGCGTGTGCACCTGAAAGGGTGCGACAACAATCATGCCAGACTCAAGTGCAGTGTAGTGCTTTGTTTGCCAGCCATGCAGCAACACTGATCGCTTTGAGTTTGTCAAGGACAGCAGAAAGAACTTTACGACAATCCGGCTGGCATCGTGTCGAATGCTGATTTCCGAAAGCTCTTCGGACAGCGGAGCCTCAGATCAGCTCAAAGTCGATGAGGGTTGTCGGGTTGTGTGCAAGTAATGATCACGTAACGATAGGTCGAGATATGCAGTTCAGTTATTGATGTTCAGTTATAATATTGTTGTTGGTGCCAATGGAGGACCCTGTCCTCGGCTGTCCCGCAGCCTGGCACGTCGGGTTCACATCAAAGAAATGTGTGATGCATGTACAGCAAAGCCTGACCAGGGTTCTACAAGTGGACCCAGGCTATCCTAATGATCCTAATTTTAGCTGGGCCATAGGAGTCGTTTGCAAGTTGGATTTAGAACTCGCACAAGAATTGCGATGCGCTTGCAGGTAAAGTGGGGGTTTAGCTTGGAACAGTTGCCGATGCTCTTCCAGTCATTGTTAAGTCCGAGAAAGACCGTCCGTGCCTGCTATGCTCGCAAGTGGCAAAAGAACGTGAAAACCAAGTGGGGGAGCTGCAGCTAGTGACACTGTCATTTTCCCTCCAAGAACAGTGACTGTTCTTTGTTTGTGAGTAGTGTTTCCAAGGCCGAGGGAAAGGTTTACTGTATATAATTAGTATGTTGTGTTCCTTCAAGAGCACAGGCCGTCATGGTAAAGCCCATTCACATCCATTCAAGATCATTCAAGCAAAGGCTGCTTCCTGTTGTTGGAACTCCCAAGATTTGCATAGGAGTTTGACGCATCATTTCTGCAAAAAAGACCCGACACATGTTCTGCTGACATCCTCCTCAACATCAGTAGTTTCAAGGAACTGTGATTTGCCACCACCTGGTGTGTTGCAAGTACGCCAGCATAGATCCCGGATAGCACAATATACTTGTGGGCAGCACCTAAGCGCTTTGTTTTTTCGTTCAACGTGGACGTAGACGCGATCTGGCAGTCACACCCTGTAGCAGCCAGTCCCCAAAGCGCACACGGGTACCTCATGACCTCTTCCTCTTCCTATAATTTCTTGAAGTAAGAACCCCAGTAGCTCTCGCTATCTGGGGAATTACAACCACATGCACAGGCTCACCTGCTGAGCACCTGCTGTGGCAGCAGTTGTCACTTACGCTATGAAAATGCCTTGTGATGAGAGGCAACCGCTGTTTTGCAGTCTTGCCTTGGTCAATGCACTGCTTTCTGGGCTCAAAGGGGTGTCACGAGGGGTTGAGGCCCACGCTGGGTGTACAGCACTTGGGTCAGTTCGCCCGCGCTTCTTCCATGGCTGCGGTGTTGGAGCTGCAGCAACAGTTGCAGGAACGCCCGATCAAATCGATGCTGTTGTTATGGGTTTTTATATGTTTAAGCACCTCCTAAACGTCCACAACTAGTGTCATTTGAAACAACCGAGTGAGTCTCACCGATCTTCGATCTGAAAGGGTGAAACATGGTGGAACTGACTCTGACAGCCAATCTTGGTGAAGGACCATGGGCAGCAGCTGGCGCAGCTGTCCAGGCAGCTGCAGAACATGGAGAGTTTGCTCCGCTCACACGAGGACATTGCAACATGCCAAGCAAACTCATCTGGTGAGCATGTTTGGGTGCACTCTCTTGCGAACATTTGGCTTGGAGAAGTTGTGACACTGTCACCGTACCATATGCACAAATCTAATATGCAGAGATCAAATTTCATGGATGATGACAGAATGTAAACAAGAGCGAAGAGTGGCAGACGGCAGCTTTTCCAGTAGCTGGCTGTGAACGTAGAATTGACGTGCGCTGGGTAGGAGCCCTTCACCAGTTTGAAGACGCCGCGGCTGATTGGTTCGCCGCCGGCAGTGTCGCCAACAGTGACCTGTCAAGAGTTTTGGGCCACATGCACAACATGCTCCAGCAAACATACCAAGTTGATAAAACCAGCCACAAGCCATGGCTATCCCAAAGGTCATCCCAACCTTCCGATTCAAAGCAGATTGTTTTCACCTCTTGGGCCGCGACTCCAACGGCGGCTGGCCGGCCCCTTCGCCCGGCGTGTCCCAAGGAGCGTCATCGGGCGCCCAGCTGCAGCACGGAGGTGGAGATCGCCCAAGCGAGGTGGGAAGCATTGGTCAACATGAGCCTTGGCTGCCAAAGTGCTGCCTTGGCCTCTCTGTTTTGCCCGTTGCTCGGCATGAGTTTATGTCATGGGTTCTTTTTCTCGGAACATGTCATCAAACAGAACGAAACTGTTCTGCGTATGGCTTGCTCTCCCAGAGATTGAATGTGTATGTCCAGAAGGCGATGCTTGTTCAAATGCAATGTGCGTTACCTCACCGTCACCTGCAAGTATTCACGTTTACCATGAAAGAATGCAGGCAATGTGCAGCAACTAGCAGTGTTTTTCCTCATGCCAGTTTCGCATATGATAATGATCAATAATGTGATATAACAATATATTATATATAGATGCATAATTAGTATAGATGCCTTGGTTAGCACTAAAGTAGTCAGCTGGAATCCAGTGTCCATGTTAGTGACAAAACCTGGGTGAAACATTGTGATTCTTTACACAGACAAACGTTGTTTGATTCCACTGATTTTTTTGCAAAGTCCATGCAAGTCGCCTGATCAATGATGGGCAAGTCTTTTAATGTCGTTAAGTGGAAAACTTGGAAACCCAAGAGGAGAGTGTGCCCAGGAAGTGAATTTTCCGCGAGGGGGTTCTAACCCCACATTCCGTTCCCGGAAACCCTGCGTGGTGCGGGAATTTCTGCGCACGATTAGGATCGAGCTTGAAGAGCAAGCGCGGGCAAGAGATGTCGCTGAGCTGCGAAAGCTGCTCGAACAAGCGAGTGCCTTGGATGGGATTGTTGTTGCCCATGTTGAGCCCGCTGAAGCGTTGGCAATGGTTGATGTAGGAAGTCTTAGGAAGTCTTTTGCCAAAGCACATTTTCCCGTTTTTAAGCCATGCCGTTTCACGCATGCAGTTCTAGCATTCAGCCGTACTCCTGCTTTACAGCCAAGGCAGAACACAACGGTCCAATTTGGATGAGAATGCAATGTGCTTCGTTTCTTTGATTTATTGAATGCCAACATGCAACATGACTGTTTCTGGCTGTTCAGTGCTTCCCGCGTGAAGTTGGATTTGAGGAAGCAAGTCTGGCCAAGCTGCGCTCCGAGTGGGAGGGAGCCTTCAACCAGATTAAAGTCTCTTGGCCAGATGAGTGGTAACAGCAATCTGCAATTTGAATTTGATTCTGTGGTCGGTCCGTTGCTTCCTGGTGTCAGGACAAGTTGACGAAGCAAGAGGAGGCCATCAAAGACTTGGCTTCAAGGTGGCGAGTGTTTCATGAGGGTGTGAATTTCTTTACTTTTGCTGGAATAGGCTGTCGAGTGAAAGACATTTTTTGTTTAGCAGGACCTGCGTGTGGCATAGGTGTGTCATTTCGTCCCAACATGGGCTTCCATGCTGGTAGACCTGCCAGGCCCTCCAGCAAGGAGTTTGATGACCTCAAGGCTTCAGTAAATTGGTGAGTTGGTGCGGTGCACTGCGGTAAGCTTGGTGAGTGGTGTGCTTCTTGAAGATCTAGTCATTTGCAGAATGGTCTGTTTGGTTGTCAAGTTGCAAGTCTTTGGGTATTTTAATTTGTAATTTTGGGGCTGTCAAGAGCGTGTTGCTAACATTGAAATCATTGTTGCCCGAAAGAATCTAAAAGATGTGAAGTCCATGATACTCGTAATTATTCCATGATGCTCGGAACAGCACTGCCGGACACTGAGTGATCAGGCAGGCTGTTACGCGGTCACTAACAGAAACAATAGCAAACAAAGCCGTTCATTGTTGGATCAACAAGAACACATTCGAACTTTCCGTGCTGTTTCCGGCTTTCTCTGCGCAGGCCAAGAGCGATTTGTTTGCCACAGCCATGGATGCGAATCTTGGCACAGCATTTCTGTTTTGCGCTTGAAGCATGTGGGAAACATTTGATGGCAGTGATGTTGATGTGATGCTGTGATGCAGAATTGGAGCATTCCGACCATTTTCTCCCACCATACATTCCAGTTGAGTGGCTTGGCCAAGGATGTCTTCCAAGCTTGAGCATGGCCTTGACACCATGGAGGCATGCTACACTTCAGCTTGTTAAACTGAACGGCATGTTTGCAATTCTTGAGTTATGACAAGACCATGCTGCAAGACATTGTTGGTGCCCTCCCTGATCACTAGACATTTGACATCGTGCCTTGAGTTGAAGGTCTTGAAAGGGCCTTTGCTCACTTCAGTCGCGGTACCAGCTGCAGCTGAAGGCCTTTTGTGGGTGTCTTCAGATCACGGGCAACTCATTCAAAAAAGCCTTTGGCACAAGCTCTAGCAGGAGTGAGCCACAAACAGGCGCAGTGTGGCAAGAAGCACAAGACATCAAAAAACCAATATCAGCGGGGCCAACCAGATCGATGGGGGCCTTGGCATGCTAGTCAGATTTATCGACGATGCTGGCAGCGCCCACAGGCAATCGCCTTTCTCAAAGCCTGGCGCATGCTAAGAGCCAGGACGCTCTTGGGGAGAGTTACTTGGCAAGCAGGACAATTGCAAAATTGATTTAGCCTCGAAGCAGTTCTTGGGAATTGATAGAAGAATCACTCGCAATGATTGCCCATTGACACTATGAAATTCCAGCAACCTTTTATATATTATATGTGTTTTTTTTTGTGTGTGAGTTTTTTGCTAATGCCAGCGCCCCGTTTTCGATCAAGAAACAGTTTCTCCGACCACGACCCGACCGTTCATCAGACTTTAGTGTGACCGGTGAGGTGCACAGCATCGGCGGACCAACAGCTCTTCGCCCATCAGCAGGAATGCCTACGCACGACTTAGCCCTGGCAAGTCGCACACGATTAGTGTCATGCCAGATGCAAGAACTCCTGTTTTACCGCAGAGCCTCGGGTCGATGTACTGCTCGTCGTGCGAAGATTGCGGAATGTGCGAAGATTGCTATCTGATGCGATGCGTAGATCATTGATGATAATTGTATGTATGGATGATTATGGATGGATGAGATGGCCATCATTGTATGTATGACATGGTGCACACGAGTCGAAGACTGACTTCACGCCAAAGCTCAATGCATGGACTTCCCAGGAAGAAGACTAGTGACTAGTTGACCCGTCACAGTTCCAACAGTTTTTGATGCTGGTACCCTAGGGCACCGTATGGGACTGCCATGAGCTGTTGCACTCAATGTGATACAGTATAAGTACACACACATTAGTATAACATTATAGTCAATATGTGCAGTATAATTCATTTGGGCAACATAATGGCGTGTTGCCGACCTTCATCGACACTGTTTACCGAGGAAGGTACCGTCCTTGGTGACTCCACTGGTGCCGGGGCTGGGCTTGGGTCGCCTGGCTCGGGAAGGCACCACCGGAAGTTTGCCCGACACCAAGGTGGAGCTCCTCGGCAAAAAGATAGATGGAAGAGGGGTCACATTTCCGATTTAGGTCATTCAGTCAGCATGTTTCTTTGGTTCCTGAGAATGTTTCGTCGCATCCTTTTTGCGTTTTGGACATGTGCTCCCGGACGCATCACCCTCCTCAAAGATGAGTCTCTCAAGCTGTTCTTTAGTCTCCGATTTGGGCCGAGGAGACCGACGCCGGAGCCTCCGCGGATCATGGCTGCTGCCAGGTTGTCGCCAGCAATGACGTGGCTTCCATGCATTCATAGTGGACGTAGAAGCTCCACAAATGGACTTTGTAGAGATACCCTGATACACTGAAAGCTAAGCAGGTTTAAAAAAGCAGGGGTGGAATGTGCTAGTTACTGTATAGGTCCATGCCAGATGACTGGAGGGGCTGAAGAGGCTCAAGATGTCCATCCTTCTTGCCGGCTCTACTCACAGGTACCGGGCAGTGCAGACGCCAGTGAAGGGAAAGGACTGGAAGAGTGTGAACGAGGAAGTTTAATGGACGTGTGAATGAGTGTGATGTTATTATGTTTGTTTCACCTTGAATTGAACTTCCGGTTTTGAACATCACCAGACTCAGGGTGCTAACAGTGCTGTTTTTTGACCAACAAAGCGCGATCATTTTGACATATTTTGACATACGTCTTGTGGCAAAGACGTGCTGTCCAGGACTTCACTCCCTTTGTGGTGCCGCCCACTCCGCCGTGACACAGCAAAACAAGACGCACTTGTTCATTGTGAGTATTATTCAAGGATTTGGATCCTCTCTGATTCAGTCCGATAGCACCATCACTGCCGCCTTCAATTCCAAGGCAAGCGCGCTTTGTGTCACCTGCACCCTTCACATCACGACAAATGAAGGAGAGGTCTTGAGGAAGACTTGAAGGGCTACGGCCAAGCTCGTGTTTGGCTCATTCTATTGTGTTGCATTTGCGGTATACACATATACAGTCATATACACATTGTGTTTGATTAAGAGGGTTGCGCATCACAGTCATAGAATCTACTCTATATGGGCCTAAGGCCTAAAGAGTTGGGGATTGGTGATGCCAGAACTCACGCTGAAGGAGTCCGAGTTGATCCTCAGGACTCCAAATGCAAAGATCAGGAGCCTTTGATACCAGGAGAATGTCCTTCACTCGAGAGTTTTTTGTGAGTCGTGAATGACATGTCGATTCATTCCATGGAGTTATGATGCTGAACACTCAAACAAGTGTAGTTGCGAGGGGGGCATGCGCTTGCTGGTCATAGTGAAAGGCTTGTCTAGTAATGCAGCTAATTTTCTTTTTGACTCCTGTGACTGCTGGTTTTCAATGCTCACAGGAGGGTGTGGAGAATTTACAGATGAAGGTTTGTGAAATTCTTGCAGGTTTGGTGGCTGTGATTCAGCCCAGAGCCTTTAAGAGCTCCTTGGGCTTTTCAGGCCTGGCCAGATGCCTTTTCCTGGCACCTCTGACCTAGCGATCAGGAAGCTCCAGATGCTTGAAGTGATAGTGATGTAAAGTGGGATGCTCACCCGAACGTCTTCGTAAGATCCAGATGATGTGGAAAGGAGCTTTGTATTAGATGTCCTCCCTGGATGTGTGGCCACAACATTCGTTTCCATTGGCCGCTGTGGACAGGGAGAAGTTCCTGCACTAAATTCGGAGGAATTATTGGCTGAGAAGCTGCGAGTCTCCAATCGAAGACTGCCACCAGTGTCTTATGCACGAGGAGGAGAACAAAAAGGGGCTCCAAAGGCCCAAGACATGACAGCCTGTGAGTTCGGGCGGCTGAACAGGTGATCAACGGTGATTATATGCTCAGACAAACTTCAGATCATTGGGATGATAGATCGGCATAGAATCCTAGAATCAAACGTACATAAATAATCATCTACATATATATATATAGCATAGATTATATACATAGAGAGAGACCCATTGAACATGTTGAATGTTGTTTTACATCAGCTTGGACTGCCTCTCACTGTAGATTGGAGGGCCCACCGACTGAGCACGGTGTCGTCACCGAGTTGGTGTTTGCTGTGAACAATGCAAAGTGAGCAGAGTGCAGCTGTCTTATTTTACATCTAGTTATATACTGCCGCTTGATGCTGCCTGCCCGCAAGGGTCTATGAAATGGGCAACTTGTCTGGTATTTGTGACTGGAGTGGTGGCAGTCAATAGGCTATGCGGCTATACTATAGTGTTTTTTGTGGTTTGTTGTGCCAAGGTCGTCACGCCGAAGCCTGTCTTGGCTCTCTCAAACATGAATAGACCAGTGGAACCATGCACAAACTACTGAAATCAATCCTAAAGCCAAACCACAAGACTAGCTGACTAGGTGTGCCACTCACCCGTCCCAGAGTGTTCCATGGTCCATAATGTTCCATCATTTGAGTTGCTGATGCTGATTCATGCTGCTTGACATGACCTGAGCCACCACAAGCAACTAGACCTATCTGGCATTCAACTGCTTCAAGCAATTGAGAAATAGACAGCACATGCAAGAAGTGACGCGCACTGACCGCGCGAACCAAGCAACTCCCAACGGTTGGATTTTTAATACAATTGCCAGCCAAGTCTTTCATGCTCCACGTCATGCGATACCGTCGATGGAGGCTCGGCTTGTTGGAAATACCCTCCTCCTAGCGGCACCTACACACTGCAGAGGTAGAACCTACATTGTGACATTGCCACAGGTCGCTCAGGAACACTGTGTCTTAATCAAACTTCCAACAACAAGTTGTTGACCATTGAAGGCTTCACTTCTTGCACTAGAGTTTGCTGTTGCCTCACACATGTCACGTCATGCAGGTTCATCCCGAGGTGATTGGCCGTGAGGCGCCGCAAGCACTATTCACTAACAGCATTTTTGGGCTAGCAATGATATGCTTTCCAGACGCTTGTGATCGCACTAGCCAATTGGATGAGTGGTGCTAACATGATTTGACTGCAGAAGCCACTGGCGAGCGAGATCGAACGGGGTGATTGTGTTCGGTTTTCTGGGAAGGACATCTCACGCGAGCATTCTTTCGGTGGGGATGAGGAGGAGGCATGGATTGGCCTATCATTCCAATTGCTGTGTACCGTTCACGACGCCCTGTATCGTCCTGTTTTCTAAAAACTTCATAAAGTGTATGGCACACTTCCAAGAACATTAGCAAAACGCAAACAAACCATGACCCAACAGGAAGTGTACATAAACAGGCAAGCCGAGGCAGCCAAGGGACAGGAAATCAACAGAACTGTCTAGAAACACTCCGTTGCCAGGATGACCTTTCTCCTGATGTGGTGCCTTCTGAGCGGAGCTTGCCTCGGCTCACCCATGTGCGCCGGCAGCTCCACAAGCACGAGGTGAGGTGATGGGTGTAAAGGACCCACTTCTCCAAAGTGAAGTCAGGTGGAGCAAACAAGATGCAAACAGACATGCGGACTCTGCGGCGTTGACGAGGTCACCATTTTTGGGAGTCGTGTGTGTGTGTGATTGTGTGATTGTGTGTGTGTTTGTTCAGGGGCCACTGCAAGGGGTAAGTAACGGTATGCAAAGGTATGCAACTTTGTGTGGATAGACGGGTGCATAGATGGGCCCGTTCTCAAATGTTCAACTCATGAACTGTACCACCCTGATAGCTCAAGGGACGCCCTCAGAGCACAGGTTTCGCAAGACAGTTCCTCCTGAAGTTGGTGAATCGCTTGAAGTGCACAGTTGACATCAGATGACACTTTGGAAATTGATGGTGCCAGGAGCCCACAGAGATCGCTGTTGACAGCTGGCGGCCAAGTTTACAGAGAGTTAGAACTTCACTTTTTGGACCGCGGAAAGAACATGGCGGTCACTGCTTGGACTACTTGATGGATTTGAGTCGGACCTCAACTGATGGTTCTTGATCTTCCCAAATCCTCACAGGGGGTCACCGATCTTGTTTTGCTTTTGTCACTCAAACCCATGTCATCATGAGCAGCCTTAGCCCCAAGGTGACGATGGTGAAGAGTCAACCTTGGTGGCGCATGTTTGAGCCTCAAGCGACCGCGCTCCAACGCATGCCCAGCCGTGGGGCATCATTCGAAGTCAAGATGCCCTGGGCAACGATAACACAAGCACAAGGAGAGGATGTTATCACATTTGCATCATTTTCATTCCTTTTGCATCTATATGCATCTTATACGAGCAGCGGAGGCTGCCATTGGCTGCCATTTGCGATGGTAGTCCATAACCCTTGCGACAGTCGCGGTTGCAGAACAGAAAATCAGGCGATTGAATCCAGCTTTAGGGGCACCCCTTGCCGACAAAAGCAACCAGTCAACCTAATAGGCCAATAAAGATCTTACAGTTGACCTCTAGTCTAGTCAAGTGCCCGACAGCGTTACAAACCTGAGGCGAACCACAAGGACACTGAGGCGTGGGAACTTCTGGAAATTAATGTTGTCGGGTGAAGTATGAAGAACTGGACCAGTTCATGTCCCGCACTTGCATTGCTGAGAGCCCAGATCATGACCAAATCAGTGTGCGATAGTGTGCGAGGGTCTCGAAGTCTTCGGACTTCAGGATTCATTGGAGTCAGAGAGGCCCTACGTCCATCAATGTCCTAGGTCCATCTAGGTCCACTAGGCAATAGTGAATGACTAAGACGCCACACAAGCGCACCTGGACAAAATAGACTATATAATAGATGTTTGTGTATATTGTGTATGTAAAATATAGCAGCTAGCAGTTTTACCAGAATCGCTGGACAAATGTCGCGACTGGTTCATAAATGTGCCGTGAAACGACATGCTCCTTGCAAAGAGACGGCGAAGCGTGTCCTTTCGCAGGAGCGGCCCAAGATTACGGTCTGGGCAGCTTCATCCAATCTGGTGTGGTGACCTTAGTCGAGTGGGGTCCGAGCCGGAGCGATAGTTCGACGCATCCCGCTTGGGAACGCTGTACCGCTGAATGCCAAGGACTTGTATGGTCGGGGCAAGTGTGCTGAGCTTGCCGCGCATGGTGGCAAACAATGGCTGGGCCACAGTCTAAGCCTGTATCTGCAGTACTGGTCTGGCTTCAGAGCAGGGCATCACGCCCGTTATGTTTAAGGACTATGATATATTTTTAATATATATATATATAAATTATATATATATATAGTCTAACTATATGACTACATTATGATAATTACGAGTTTTGGACACTATGGTGAATTCAAAGAATTGGAGAGTTCACCTGCCATCTTGTATTATATATATTCTTCGAAGCCCCTCCTGGTTAAGCTCGCCTGGAGGCCCGAGCTTGGAGTGCGTTCTGAGGCCTTGGGCCCCGGCATGGTGTTACTTGCTGGCTTCGTCTCCTATCAAGCTTGCACCATGGTTTGGGGCTCTCAGCTCACCGAGCAGCAACATTCGTCCCTACTCCCAGTGACACACTGTGAGCTAGAAACATGACATGGATGCCAATCGGTGCTTTCTCCATTTCAGTCAAGCAGCTGTTTTGCGCTCATCACACCCAAAAGTTTGTGCAAAGAACGAACCCTCACTATGTTTTCTAAACACAGTTTTTGGCGTGCAGGGGTGTTTGTATGAAGCCCGACCAGCTAGCAAAAACTGAGATTTCTTCGACCCTATCCTCGGGCACCCGGGATTTGCTGAGGTGGATCAGGCAATGGACCACCTGGCCGATACCTACGGACAACATCCCAGAAACATTGGCTTCGATCTCAGCTGGGAATGTGCTGCATGAATCGGAGAAAGACTTGAGCCTCCACAGAGTGGCGTTGGTCTGTTTCAGTGTCCCCAACCGAATGAAACAATGATCACCCCAAACCCATACGCTTAGATAGATCCCTGTTCCGACCGCTCAGGAGATGTTGTTCAGGACCGCGGATTCTGGAGTATGATAGGAGTGCAGAGAAGAAGTTCAGAAGCTTCCTATTGGCTACATGGAATCTCCCGGATACTGAAGACAAAGCTTGAACCTCCTACATGAGCCCGTGAACTACTGCCTGTTTCTACGGTAGTCGCAGGGAGTGGCAAACTGCTTTAGATTCTTCTTTCCTTAGCTTGAAGGAGTGTTTTGGTCAGCGTGGGAGACGAGCTGCTGCTTGATAGCACCCCATCGGGCATCTGAGACATGAGACTGTATCCGCGGATAACAGCCTTTTGGTCCACGCGTGCCATCGCTCGTGGCTGGTCCAAGGTTCTATTTCTTACTTGTGTTTTTCAGATTAGCCTCTCGGCTTGCTAATTCTCCATTTGTCAAAAATGACATGCTTGCCGCTTTGCTGCTAGTAGGTTGGAGGCCATCGCTTCTAGGCTGGAGGCCATCGCTAGAAGGTGGGAGGCCCTCGCTATTGGGTTGGAGGCCATCGCTGTTAGGAGAGCTATTCGCTACTTTGGCCTGTAATGAAATGGTCGATCATGTTTCAGAGTTTCAGTTCCGGCTCCCCTGTATTCCCATTTGGAATGTGGGGCTCCGTAGCCTGAAAGGCAAGTGTGGCGTTTACTTTGTTGTCATCGGCGCCAATTTGAATTACGCCTTGGATGGCATGACGCAGCGTCAATGGGCATTAACAGGCCGTTTGACATCATGCTCACACAGGATGCCCAAGCATTTTCCACCTTTGACACTTCCCGCTTAAGACCCGTGTCCCACAAGTTGCCGAATGTGGCATTGTCAGGTGCCCTGCTTTGCATGCGATTGATGTTTGTGCAAGACATCACAGTGATCTCTCGATGGTGTGGGTCCCAAGTGCTTGAAGGATACGGGGATGAGGCAGCACCGCCAGAAGGGTGGGTGTGTTTTGTTGTAGATTCAGGCCCCGGCTGAAGTTGAGGGGTGGGAAATGAATGGGCTCAACCCGGTTGTTTAACCGTTAACCAAGAAGTTCAGTGGTGGATGAATGGCTCCATTTGCTGAGGTCTTTCATCGGAAGCTTGGCCAGACATCTGAATGGCTAGGGGCTCCTGGCATCGCTACTAGGAACAAGAAGCTACTAGGGCCGGGCTCCTGGCCGTACTACTAGGAGCAAGGACACTACTAGGGGCTCCTGGCATCGCTACTAGGAACAAGAAGCTACTAGGCCTTATGCCACATGGCACGACTCACGGGACCTTTGAACTCAGGAGTGATCGCCTCTGTGGTGTACTTACTCACCATTTCAGCCGGAGGCTAGTTGCGCAGTGGTCCTGCTATAGCTACAAGTTCTTGGTGCGATCATGCTGAGTGCCACAGGTGTCGAAGCTGCGGCTTTAAATCCAACTCCAAGCAAGCCGTAGCCTCATGATGAGATTGAAACTTGTGTCAAACTAGACCCTGAGGCTGCTTAGAGCTTGGAAGGTATGTAGGCCTTGCTTGAGTTGTGCCACATGCTTTACGCAAGCAATTCATTGTGCACCAGTCGAAAACGGCAGAGGACATGGCCCAATACCTATACAAATCTTCTTGCAGATTTTGTCAATGGCCCAGTGCTCCTGTGATTGTATAGTTCCACAAATTCTGGTTTGCACATGGTACAATGTACACAGACGAATATTTGAGTGGCTTCTTGTTTTGATCAGAATTGCGTCAGAACGTGTTTGGAAATACATTTTTTCAGGCTGTGATGGTCTATGCGTACTCGCCGTGTGATGTTTTGCCCGTTTTGAAGCATGACATGAAGGAGTGGAATGTTGAGTGCGATGACAATGTGAGAACATTTCTCTTGAATGTAGTAGCCTGGCTGACACCATCAATGCCATGAGATTGCAGATGCCATAGGAGCCTAGAAGCCTTCATTTGGCCTTGCGTTTTTCATTCTTCACTGTGGTGTTCCTCTATGTGAGCCTGGGCTCTGTCTGGGGCCAAGGACAGAGAATTCGACTCTCCCACAAAACGATTAACGATGAACACTTATATAGCAACTTTGAACCTGGCTTGTAACACTAATCCATGTGCCGTGCATAAACCTTCTCCAGGTGGCCTATCTTGGCTGGGGAAATCAAGTGGCAGGGAACGTGCTGCCCGAGGGCCCAGAATGAATGGAATGGTTGCATGAAGGTGCAATTTTGTTTGCAAGGAAAGCAGGGCAAGCAAGGCAAATGAACACAGACTGGATACAGAGGCTGGAAGCAGCACGCACACTTGAGGCTTTCCATGTGTGATCCACCTGGTTGCCCTGGGAACTTGCCAGCGAAGGTGGATGCGCCAGGTAAAAAGTATCTTGGCCAAGGCATGCAACACGGACAAAAGGCAGCTTTTCTCTGTTGGGTCAGTGATGCAAATCTTCAGGTCAGGCTTTGCACAAGCTGGCGTCACACATGCGGACAGGGGTATTTTTGAGTCATGTCGAAGCCAAGCATGCTGTTCGACCGAGGTGGATGCTCGGCAGCTTGTTTGAAGCTGGAAGGATCGGTTCCAATGACATGTTTCGAAATCCGCTCAGGATACTGCCTCGCGGGGGCTGTGGTGTCGAATTTGATGGTCACAGCACCAGTGGTTTTGCCCCTTGGCATGATGTTGCGGCTGTGGCAGCCACAATGTGGCATGATGCTTCTCACGTGCTCACCCCACCTGTGGCTTTATTTTCATTTTACGGACTTGAGGTATTGTGTTTTTCGTGTGCTCGAAGCTGAGCACACTCTGCTAACCCAGCCGTGGGTGAACCGAACCCTCAGAGTGACGACCGTGCGCCTCGGCTCACTTTTGGAAGCCTCCAACCTAGTAGCGTCCTTGCTCCTAGTAGCGATGCCAGGAGCCCCTAGTAGCTTTTTGTTACTAGTAGCGTCCAAATCCACAAGAAAGGGGACGGTTCATGTCCAGATTCTTCGATATAGAATGATAGGTTGATTTGGATGCTTGATCGCCTTTGGCGCAAAGTTCAAGGATACAAGACAATACAAGTCAATCAAATGTGCATCAATTCCCTCCAACCCAAAAGAGCACCAACCGTCAATCCCATGGCCCGTTTGCCAACCAAACGGACAAGACTAGACTGAGACTACTTTGTTCATCGGCCTTTGCCTAAACTCTTTGTGTTTGTGTTTCTTCGCATATCATTGAAAAGATCTTGAAATGGTCTGGCAATCAAATATGTAATGTCTTGATTCCATCATTTTGCATTGTATTATTTTTAATCGAGGGGGGGGGCAGGGCGTGACAACAAATCAAACTGCCATTTGCGGCTTGGCGAGGACAATTGCTGTGTTGATTGCTCTATTCCTTCCCCACTTCACTGAAATATTGGCAGCAGCTCGGCCACGACGGAATTCAGATCTGACCAATCAGCGTCTGACACTCTTGGCGGCCTCGTTTGAGGTAATTTCCACTGGTTTATTGACGTTGCTTCAGATTTTTGTTCCTGCCCTCAGTCTTCACTTGTATGATGACATGACATGTTTTTTCTTTCACTTGTGAATGTAAGAGACATTTGAGGTGCCAGTTGCAGTGACTTTGGCACTCCGTGGCCTGGGATTCCGTGAGTTGTTATTGTGTTTCTTGGGCGTCGGCCCCTTGCTTGAACGTGTGCGAAAGTGGGAGATGTTGACTGTATGGTGGTTTGATGTGGTTTGAATTGTCGCAGTTGTCGCACCAACAATTTCATCAATGTTCAAGGAATGCTAACAGCCGGCATGCAGAGACCTCAGCCGCAGTTTCAGTTGTAGGCCGAGGTCAACGGTCTCTTCATTGAAAGGGTTTTTATTTGGTCACAACCTGTCAGATGGTATGTCAGATGATGTCAGATGTATTTCCCCACCTGTCAGGTGAGGAATGTTAGATTTTCCAAGAGAGTTGCCGCAACTGCCCTCATCCGCCTCCTTCTCCTCGCCTCACAACTGCAATGGCCAGATCCCAGCGGGCACGCTCGGACCTCAACAGCAAGCGTCGGAACTCACTGGGCGCGGTCACAACCACAACACACAACCACAACGCACAACCACAAACACAGGCGCAACACACAGCACAACAACACAACTACCCGCACTACCTGTGTGTGTGGCACTATATGCCAGGCAGTTTGCGTGGGAGGTGGGCACAGGGTCGGACTTCTGGATGCCAACTGTAGACTGTAGACCCTGGCGACGCTCCGACGCCGAACTCTCCAACACCAACACTAGAACAACAACCCCGAGCCTGAGGACCCCAAAACCCCCGACCATGGCAACGGGCTCCCCACCACGACGTGAAAGCAACTGATTGAAATGTAATGGTGGGGATCACCCGAGATAAAGTCAATGGGTGTTTTGTGCAGAAACTTGTTTATTGAATTTTAGTGACGTCATTTGCGTTCAAAAACTTATTCTAGGCTTCTTAAGCAGCTATATCACTGCTGTGCACAGGTTCAGCGCCCTGAAAAATCTGTACACCGCGATCGTGGAAGGTTAATGAAAGGCTTCGAGCCTCCAGCGAAGCTGCGAGGCTGAAGTTTTCCTGTAAATGGAATTATAGGGCTGTTTGGCCACCCAAAGTAACCAAGAATAGCTGGCGAAAAGGCTGTAGAAAGCATTCGTTCACAGAGAAACAGGTGTCATCAAAAGGCTAACGTCAATTTCTTTTGACTGTGCAGCTTTGGCCCAAACATGGAAAGCAGATTGTTGATCAACAGATGTCACACACGGGCGTGGCAAAGAAACTGAACAATGCGTAGACTCTAGAGCGTTGGGAAAGGTCATCAACAACTTAGATGTCCCAAGGACATCCAAGGATGCCGCCAAGATATGCAGAACATCGGAAGGTTGGGGGCACCCATTATGTGACACAGCTGTAGTCATTGACAGCCAGGTTCACCAGCAACATTAGCATGTTTGGACAACAGCAACGGCAGTTTGCTGAAGTTCAAGTGAAATGATATCAATACATATCAATACCAATTATATAGTGGGTTTGCAACGATACCAAGCATACATGTGACTTGCCCCCCCCATTCCGAAATGTATGTTGCTTGCGCTTTTCCAATGGCGCCATGTCATGGGCTAAGAGTGGTGGTTGGGTAAATAGTAAATAGTAAATGTGTGGTGTTCGACAGGCAATGGGCCGGGCCGGGGCTTACATCAATATTCAGTGAACGTTCTTGGTGGACAATGAGATTGAGTGTGGGCAGTGGAAGGACATCAACTGCAGACGTGTTTGCATACCTCGTCATAGCTCAATTACATTTCCCTGACGCTCCGGACACGCATCGGAACCATTCGGAACCCGTGGTGTGTGGCAAACAAGCACAGGTCAATTTACGATTGCTGATCCTTTTTTTCAATTCTGATTGCATCCTTTCGTGGGTCACTTCACCAGCTGTAGCTGTTTTTGGTGAAATGATTGAAGTACTACCAGGAGCAAGAACGCTACTAGTAACAAGTGCATCGCTACTAGTAACAAGTGCCTTACTAGTAGTAACAAGGACGCTACGAACGGGGCTCCTGGCATCGCTACGAACGGAGCGATCGGACGCTACGAACGGGGCAACGTCGGCCCTGTCCGATGCCCCAGGTCGCTCGGATCGCGACCGACGCCGAGTTTCTCGGAGTTCGAGATGGCCAGCTCTCAGGCCACACGACCTGCAGAAAACCCGGCGAAAAAACAACAAAAAACAAGAGATTTTCAAGCTTGGATTTAATGTTTTATTGTTTTGGCAGCTGGTTTGGATGTTTGTGTGATGGGTTTGGATCGGTTTGCTCTTGTTCCATGTTCTGAGACTCGCAAGCAAGATCAAGGCTTGCAGTATGTGGCAAGGGGTTGAGGGACAGCAATATGCGGTATGCGACTATACAATATATATAATATATATATATACATACATTTAATATTACATATAATATATATACATCATATGCGCACGTTTGTTCACGTGAACTCTCATTCTCACGGTGTCACCTCGCCGTTTATGTTCACAAGTATCAATGTGACAATGTGGTTAACTAGTGCTTTAAAAGTTGAATAAAGGACCGGACCATACTGTATGAGGCGCAGTTCAATTTCTTTTGCTGTGTCCCGTTGATTAAAGTGCTGAACTGAAAAGCATGTAAGGATTCTTAAAGATCTTAAAGGCGATAATCCAAGTAAAATGTTACCTGGAACGCAGATGCACTGCAAAACAATAGGCGTTCGAATTTGCTGACAAAGAGCCCTGCACAATAAATTTTGACTGCACTGTATCTCCATATCCAACATGTTTTGCACTGATTTCCTCCAAACCGAGTCAAACAGAATGGACAGCAACACAGTTCTAGCTATCCAGCTTCAATCAAGAATCTTTTGGATGTACTGTACCTCCTGTGGTCCAAGATATGGTACACTGAGTCGTCCAAAAGCCATAACGTGTTTGAGAGTGGCAGCTTCATTCAAACTCATTCAGGTTCTATAAATATATTGTAGAATCAAGTTTTGGGCACAAGCATCTAGAGCAAGCATTCAGAGTCGACCCAGTCATGGGACATTTGCTTGTGGCTTCACCAACAAAGACTAAGTTTGCATTTCGTTCGACCACAGGCTGCCCATCAATGTGCACCAGTACCTGTGAAACTTGATGCGAGGCAGATGGCGTGAATGGCCTGTGGTATCCTGTAGTCCTGTGGGAAAAGATGAGCAGAGTTGGAGCATGCTGGACATGCAGCTATCCATACCTATCAACGGATTGGGTATGTTGGCGCCAATCCCACTTGATTCTTTGGGCGCTCCCAGCATTGCTGTTGTTGAACATAGCGGCCCCTGTGGCGATTGTCACCCCCGTATCGCCAATGTCAATTCGCATCATAGAACCCCGCACGAAGCAGGCCCAAGAAGTTCTAGCCCCAAAGTTGTAGGTCAAGGACCTGTCATTTGTTGCAACTGTTGAACTGTTGCGGTTTCCAGCTATCATCAATCATCACAACTTTTTTCAACAAAGGGGTACCTTTTTGCACCTGATTGATGGACAAAGGCCCCCTTGACCCACAGCTTGTGGCTTCCATGTTCTACTGGATACCAAGCTGGTATATATCCCTGCTGACGAACTTTTAGACCCAGTGCTGGGCGAACGCTGGGCCTGGGGGAACGCTCCCTTGTCAGGGAGCTGGGAGAACGCTTAGCGGCCGACGCTTGGGCCTCCGCAGATCGCCTCTTGCTGTGCCTTGGCGGCTGAAGAAAAGAAACAGGTACAAGAAGAACACAAAAACACCCCATGAAGAGAAACTGAAGTTTGGGCTCTTTAAGAAGGTCCCTTTTGTTTGGGGCCTTAAAAAGGACCTAAACATGTTCCTTTCTTTGAACGGACGGAGAAATGGATGAGTTTCAACCTTGGGAACCAGCCAATGAGGGCCACAATGGGACGACGAGAGGTACAAGATTGGGGGTGACTCAACGATTTCATTCTGGACACCGGGTTGGAATTTGCATGAATCGTCAGATAAAGCTTTGGATATGGCGCGGTGCCGGTTTCATATGGTTTCATCACATTCAAGCACTCCGGGTTTCGACTGTGCTCCCCTTCGCAAGGCCGTCACGGAACCCACGCCAGGTGTCTTTGCTTGCGCGCCTGGCGCCTCCAACGTGGGCGAGTTGCGGTGAAGACGCCTCCTGTGCAACTTCAAGGTGAGGGTCATCCGTGGACAACGTGTGAATACCTTCTAGTTTCTGAAACTGTGCTCGCACCAAAACCTGGAGTCAGAGTTAGAGTCATAAGTTATTTTTGACTGTGTGCGGCCAACTTCACAGTTGTTCAAGCAAGAGCCAACAAACATATCCTCGCCTCACGTTTGTTATTGATGGATGTACTGTACATTGGACCTTACAATTTACAATTACTGTATTTTTGCATCCAGAGAGGTCAGAGTTGTTGGTGTGAAGTTAGTAGCATTTCAGAGGTGTGCTTCTGGAAGCACGTGTGCTTCACAGGTGCCAAAGCAGCGCGCGCTCGAAGTTGGTATTCTCCGACTGTGGGGGGCCTCGGCTGTGGACTGTGCTCTGCAAAGCAAGATTGGCGCATGAACACATCAAAACAAATTTGGGTGTGTTTTTTGATAGGGAGACCTCCAACCAAATTTGCTCTATTTTCCTTCTTCCGTCTTTGGAAGGTCTCCCAATTTAAATACACACCCACTTGCAGACAGTGGTGGATATTCCCTGGCCTGAAGTTGCTTCTCCAAGCTCTGAATACATGTGACTCATGTGACGTTGTTTGACGATGTGGGGTTGGACATCATCCTTTTCGCAGACAATAATCACTTTGATTTATGTTCTTTCACACTTTGCGACTGAAGAAGCATACCAGTGCAGGCATAATAGGATCCCGTTTTGCCAGGAAAAATGAGTGTCCTGGTGGTTTCGAGGGATACAATCATTTAGAATGGGACGCTGCCAAGTGGCTATGACTATGACTACTACTCCAAAGAACAGGGAAGTCAAAAGGAAGAAAGGTCTTATATAGTTACAGTAACTTAAGTTCCCTAAAAATCTAGGAACCAAATGAATAGTGAATAGTGCGTGAGTTATCCTGTGTCCATGCTAGTAGGCTCTTAGTAAGGTACTAGCTACCTCTCCCTCAATTAAGTAGGCGCCTACTTAATTAAGTAGGGAAGAGGGAGCGGGCTCAAACACATTACAAAAAAAGAAAAAGAAGAGACCCCAGGTTGAATAAGAGACCAGGTGCTGTGACATCGTGTGACTCATGAATCGAGTACCATCCGGTCCAACCCCTGTGGGATGAGGACAACAAGACCCTGTAGGTCGGTGGGTCGGACAGTCTTTTGAGCGACTCGTAGATTAGACTAATGTACTTTTATATTTTGTTCTATAGGTAGATTCGGACTTTGTTTTTTT